CTGGGCACAATTATATGTTGTTTTACTGACTTTGAGCAGAGCTCCTGCTATGCAGCCTTATAGGTTTGAGGCCAAAAATACATGCAAGTTTCATTTAAATAACTGTAGTGGAAACTTTCTATGGAAAGAAGATACCCAAAAAAGCCCCTGAAAGAACAAAGTAATTGCCTTACAGAAAGACTTCCTTTTGCTGCATTGTTTTCCGTTTGCATCAGCCGTTTGTCTCCTTTGGGTTGTGCAGTTGTGGTTCTTCAGTGTGTCATCCAGCAAAAGTACAGCAGAACTTCTGTGCACAGAAGAAAATTGCTACCTTTTTCTCTGTCATAAGGAGAAAAACAAAAAACAAAAAAACAACAACCCAGCTGTGCTCTGTACAAACAGTCTGTGACATGAGTGGAATTGAAAAATGACTATTAGTCCAGAATGCTGTGCTGAAGGTTACTCTTTTGTGTCGTCCTTCAGATGAGAAGGTTTAACAATGTGAGTGGTGGAAGCACAGAAATTGCTAATATGTGGGAGCTTCTTGACCAGTGATATCAATATATGGTGGCATTTCAGCATGTGCTGCAAAATCAGATGTGTTTTTGTTGACCACCTTGTGGCAAATTGAGCTCATTTTATTGTAGGGCTGCTTTATCAAGCTACTAAAGCCTAAAACCCCCAGAAGATTCTGGTTTCTCTTTTGGACCAGTGTGACTGCACAAGTGTTGCATTGTACTGCACGAGGTGTGATGCTGCTGATGGGGTGGGAAGAGTGGTAGGAGCTTTCTTGTGCTTGCTCTTGGGAGGAGCCGGGAGATTTGTATATTAGAGGCTGGAAAGTGATTTATTTTTTTTTAATCCTCTTTTCTATCACTCATTATGTCTTAAATTTAAGTCTCGTGAACTGCTGGTTCAATCTCAGTTCATAGCCTTGCTCCACTTCCTTTGGTTCAGCAGAGCACTTTTACTCTGCAGAAGTGTGAAAAAGTTAAAGTGCCTACTGCTTCCCTCTGCCTGCGGCTCTCTTTGCTTTTCTGTTCGTCCTTTATGATGTCTAAAGGCAATGGTCACGCTTCTTAATGTCTTGAAAAAATTCTAAAACACCATACCGAAGTAAAATAAAACCAACAAGCACTAGAAATGTGCCACATGAATCACTTTCTTGTTGATAGGGCTGACTGAAGGATGAATGAATAGCAGTAGGAACTGCCATAGACACCATGTCATGCTTGACAGCGGAAGATTTCTTTCGAGAACATTGCATTTTAAATGTGTACACAAGACTTGGGTAAAGAGGGTGTATTGCTGATTTCCCATGGGCCTTAAAGTGAAGACATAACCGTGTCTGTGATGCTGCAGCTATCTGCTGCATTGTCTGGTCTGGAGAGACAGAGTGCTGCATCCGTGCCAATCCTGCAAGGTTTGGGCTGTTTGTATGTCCCGTATAGGGAGATGACTGAAGGGGCTGTGTCCCACCTTTTCATATCACCTTTTCCTTGAACACAATTGATAGGAACTGCAGTAGCCCAGGAGATGGGAATGACAAGACCCGGTGGTCTTGGTCCAAGTGCTACCTGGAAGTTCAGTTCAATTGATAACTTCAGAAAATATTGTAAAGTTTGAGGTTTATATTTGGAGGGTGATCCAGAGAAATTTTCTTCTCAGCTGCTTATCACTGATTTCAGAGCTCCATAACCTGCCGGACTTGTTTTTCTTATTTCTTCTTCTCAGTGGCTTGCAATATCTTTTGCTAAAAGCGCACCTCACTCACCTCAGACCACAGCTTCAGGCTTCTGCATGATTTCTTGCTTCCCACCTAGGAATGTGAAAATAAATGCTGATGATGGGTTTGTAAGAGGTGTATGGAAAACAAAGAGCCAACCTAGGGAGATTGCCTGAGTCTCCCCAAAGCAAGAGACTTGTGCTAAGGGGCAGCCTGGTTTCTCCTGAGAGGCTGGCAGTGTGGTCAGCCCATCGTTACGTGGGGCTCAGGTTAATTCCCTATAGGATGGCAAGAAAGTCCTTGTTAGACATGGTCTTAATCTTGATGCTGGTGTTAATTAATCCTGATTCATTGTTATAAGAGTATGAATTCAGGCAGGAAATGAGCAAGAAGCATTACTGGGGGGAAAAAATCTTTGATTTCACACTTCAGGGTGTGGGGAGGGAAAGCTTTGAAGTTGCTATGTTCTTGCTGCAGTGTACCATATTAACGTTTTGGGGTTTGGCTCATGAAGTACTCTCTTCCCTCACCCTTAGAAGCATCGGATGTAATTAAGCTCAGAAGCAATGGTCCTTTCCAGCTCTTTCCTGTCAGCAGGGTGAAATAGCACATAGATGGTGGATTTTTTTTATTTTTTTTTTCTTCATATTGGGGGAATAGTGGCTGCTGAAATTCAGTTACTCAGGGCTCTGTTACCCCCTGAGAACCACAGCTTTGCTAGCATCTGTTCTTCGCCGCTGCATCAAGACCCAAGATGCTTTCAGTTTCTCATTTAATGGGCTGCAGCTTGACCTGTGAGTCTGCTCAGGATGCAGCACTGGGGGCAGATGAGAAGAAGCCCTGCCAGCAGCACTGTGGAAACCCACTATTTTGTCAGAAAGCAGAGCTAAATGATATGCAATTGCCCCAAGCCATTGCAAAGGAGACTTACAGACATCTCTGTGCCGGACCAATTGTGTGATTTACAAAGTTATTTTCAACCCCAAATAGAGATTTTCCAGTTAAATGGTTTTGCAAGCTTTTATTCAACATGAAATGGAAAGAAGCGAGGACTTTCCCTGCGTGAAGGCCCCTGCCAAGGGGATGGCCGGCCCAGTGACCTACCCAGCATTAATGGCAGTGCCACCAGCTTCTAGAAGCACGCAGGGAAAGGTCACGAGAGCCCTGACCCTCCTCTGGCTTAGCAAGGGCAGTTTGGCTGGGATGTGAATTTTTAATTTGTGTTCAAACCACTTTCACAGCATCATTGCCTGGAGATAGAAAGCATGCAGCCTTGTTAGAGAGGGTGATAACAGCTACTTTATCTCAAGTGTCTGGACTGCTGCTTTATTTTTTTTTTCCCTTTTCCTTTTAATCTGATATTCTTTGTTCACAACCCAGATGGGGCAGATGCCTTCCAGTTAAGATTGATGTAGCTTATCAGTAGAAGTCTGCCTGCCATTTCATAGGATGCACCCCAACTAAAGTGGGATAAAAGCTGGAGCTTCAGCTTGTCAAAGACAGTGTGAAAGGAAATCTGTTTAAATGTTTATGCATCAGCAAGGCAGCAAGGCCAGCTTTTATTCCCATGGCATTTCAGTGGCTCTTTGTGATTAGAGATGCCCTGGAGATGCCTCAGTGGTGGAGCAGTGACATGACAGCGATACTTAGCTAAAGCCAGGGCAGCTTTGCACTGGCCAGCATCACTGTGTGCTTCTGAAATGCTCTCTTTATTTATTTATTGTTTGACTTCTCTTTTAAGATGCATATTCACCTCTGTTAAAAGCATCTGTAATGCCTGTTCTGGCATTGATTTTTCCTGGCTTGTCTACAGCCAGGTGGCAGTGAGGGCTTGATGCTGCTGGGGGCACAAAGGGAATGCATCCAGGGGGCAGTGGTGGCTGTAACGAGCCCCTTTTGGTTTCTTGAAATCCTTGGTGAAGAACTCTGCAGAGAACAGAGACTGCCTGTTCACCTGGTGTGCAGAGGGAAGAGTTTGTGGTTCGGTGGTGAGGCGGGACCAAGCTGTCCCCCAGCCACTCAAAGGAAGATGCAGGACCCTTCACCAGACCAGGTCTGCCACCGTCAGCAACATGCCAGATTGCCGGTGACTTATTTCAAATCTGTTTTAACACTTGATGAAAATTGCTAAAAATATTTTCTCTTGCTCATCAGCCGTTGAACTCCTGCCCTCCAGCCCCATCATTATTCCGTGCAGTTACATCTAATGAGAAATTAGTGCTCTGAGCATTCACGTTGCAGTCTTTCACCTGTGAACAAATATTTTGCATGCCGCGTGGGAAGGCAGATTTGTTCAAAAATATAAATAGTTTGATTTTGTATTATGCATACACAAGCAGAACACTTGCAAATATTCAGGCAAGGCCTCCGTTGAATGCACTTTAATATTTCCCTAAGTAGAGGGTCTTTTTGAGATTACGCCTCTGGACCAGGCTCTTCTTTTAATGTGGTCATGGGAGTTGGTGTCCCCAAGTCTCTGTTTCTCTCTGTAAGTTCATTGGGGTAGTCACTGGCACTGGTGTTATTTTTAACCCTTGAAGCAAGGACAATCAAGACTTCAGGGCAGCCTCAGATGCTCCAAACCTTTTCCTGATGGGCAGTGACTTAACTTCCCTGATCCAAGTGTGGGAGAGCCCACGATGGTCCTTGAATTGCTGTCTCGGAGCTTTTCTGTCAGCAGTCAGGAAGCTTTTCCTAGTGTGTAACCTGCTTCCCTCTGTGCTGTTTTAAGGCTCTGACATCTTGTGCTATTCTGGACAGGTCAAGAAGATAGTTTGTCTTTGCCTTGTGGCCCTCTTTATATATTTGGAGACTGTTACAAAGCTTCTCTTTAGTCTTTACTCTTTCATTAGATTATTGTGATTTAAATTATTTATTTAAATATTTTTGCTGTTTTCTCAGTCTATGCTTTCTTGACCTCGCACCATTCTTGCTGTCCATGTTGGGACTTTTTCTACAGCTTTGCTGAAATGCAGCGTTCAGTAGTGTCTTTAGTAGTGCTACATAAAGGAAAAGTTCCCTCTGTGTATCTGGTGAGCACTATGCCTCTCTGTGCATCTGAGTATGATGCTTGCTTTAGTGCACTGATGTGATGGTGTCCACTTCTTGTTTCATCCATGATCCTTTGTAATCCTGAGATCCTTTTCATTAAAAAAAAACAAAAGGAAAAAAAAATCTTTGCAAACTGATAGTTATTTCCCCTGTGACTGTCATTGATTGTTCCTGCCTTAGTACTGTTCACCCATCATTCCTGAATTGTCTTTTTCTTTTTCTCTCTCTTTTTTTTTTCTTCCAGACCATTTCTACTACTTACCAAGAACATTTTGAATCCTAATCCTGGCTTCCGAAGTACTTGCAGCCCATCCCAGCCCGGTATCAGCAGCAATTTTAGTAAGCATACTATGTTCCATCATTCCAATCACTTTTGAAAATAGCGAATTTTGTTGAACCTAGGATGGACCCTGGGACACCCACATCCTTCCGTGTGACAGCATGCATTGTGGCAGCATCCCACAATGTTGTATATGCCCTGTAAGAGGTACAAAAAGAAATGAGACTCCCTGGGACAATGAAATTCATGTCTCAAAGCAAGAGATTTTATCAGCCCCTTTGAAGTTTTGTAATGAGAAATATGTTTATTTACCATGCCGGTGCCTGAACAATATGGGTTTTGTGCAGGGCCAGGTGTTTGAAAGAGCAGAAGCTCTGCGTTGTTGCAAAATCAGCAAGTTGACTTTCTCCTGTGTATTTGTACATTTTTCTTTTTTTTTTTGTTTTCCTGCTTTCTCAATGGAAAACCCACCTTCTGTTCACACCCCATAGATGCCCTTTCGTTCAGCAGACACTTGTTAGTTAAAGAGCCTCAGTGTTTCGAGCTGAGGCCCAGGGGGAAGGAAAGCAAACACCATTTGTTTCATGACTTCACACCGAGGAGGAGGTTCTGAGTGATTGTGGGAGTGTGCTGGACCTGGGGGGCTGCAGCAGGTTTGTGTTGGAGTCAGTGCTCTATGTCCTCTGCTTGGATTTTTGCCCTCTGGCTCAGACACTGCATTTATGTATCAGTGGACTATGACATAAGTTCATTTTGGCGGTGGTGGCGAAGGGTGATATTCCAGGATTTATGAATTTCTATGGGGTCTGACAAATGAAGCTTTATAGACCGAATTTATATTTATAACGCGAAGGGACAGAGCCAGATACTGCCTGCGGAGACCAAAAATATGGTGCACAGCCACTGTTTATGTCCCTGTAGCTGTCAGTGTTTAACAAATAAGAAATGGAAACAAAAATGTTGGAGGGAGCCCGAAGGTAATCGGTTGCAAATGAACTCAGACAAGAAGTAGCTTCTTGTTTCTCTGCAAGAAAGGAGTATAAAGCTAGCTTTTGCTGTTAGCTGCACCTAAATGTACATGTTTGTCAGAATAACTATCAGTTTCAAACTTCATCTCCTCTGTGACATCTGCTGTTTCTGGAAATTCAAGCTGAAACAGGAAAAATGATGTGTGCTTGCCTTTCATCTCTGACTGTGAATGTAGTGGTGAATTAGGATTTCCAGCTCCTGTGTCATCTGGTCAGGAATACTGTTCTCATGCCACAAAGAGGGAAACTGAGGCACAGAAGACAAGTACTTGCATTAGGCTCATGGAGTGGGCTTGGATGAAGAATGCTGATTTCTTGTCCCCTCTTCCATGATCTCAGTGTTTCCCAAAGTTTTGAGAACTTGAGAAGTAATGAAGTCCTGTGAAGACAGATTTGCAATTCGGTGTTTTCAAGGACTCTAACTACATAAAACTGATTTACTGTGGGAGAAAAAGCCTTAAATATCCCTGTAGAGAGGACATAATGTGAATGATTTTGTATTTATTCATTGCATTTCACTGAGTGGATGAAATCTCTCCTGACCGTAATTGAATTATATTTGGATGTGCTATCTAGTCTGGTGGTGTTAAAAGCAGGTGCACAAAAGGGATTTTTTGGAGAGAGGAGAAAAAAGCTTACTGTAGCAGTAAAAGATTCTTACTGGTGTAACAATCCTAATCAGATTAATTATGATTAATTTATCTGTCTGTTTTTATTTATAAAAGCAGCATTTCTAAAGAGTTTTGCTTAAAACCTTCGAGACTTTTAGTAATATGTTTGACTTCTTTTTTCACATGGTGCAGTGTATAAATCTGTGTCTGGTTGGGCTTTTAGGGAGAATTATATTGCTTTGAGCATTTAGACCTAGCCATTATTTCTCCGTCTCCTCTTACACCTTTTTTTGTCAGTAAATCCATCTCCTGTCACCTCTCCTATGTTGCCCATCTGTAGGTGGCCCAGCCACTCTTGTGCTAATGTCTTCCAACAAGTTTCTTGTCTTCTTGCAGATACTTTTTTCTTTTGTCTCTCTCTCTCTCTCTCTCTTTTTTTTTTTTTTTGGACAGTTGTACCATATCTTCCCTTTGGCAGCGGCCTAGTGCTGCTCCTGGCCTTCTTGTAGGACCAAAACTTCTCGTCTTTGTAACATCCTTGCCCCATCTCACACATGGCTTTTTTTCCTCTGAAACAATCCTTCTGTAATTTTCCACTTGTGTGCCTCACCAAAACTCAGATCTTTTCTCACTTGCATATGTCACTTACTTTTCCTGTCTCTCTCTTTCTCTCTCTCTCTTTTTTTTTTAAATGCTTTTTTTCTCTTACTGTTTTTCATTTCTGAAAAGCTGTTTGGATTTTCACAAAACCGAACTGTATGACATTGCATATGTGCTTGCCCATATGTATCTGCTTATTGCAAAAGTGGCAGAACAGTATCGATCAAATGAGGTAATTTTCCATCAGATTCATCCCTCTGTTTCCTTTTCATATTTATTCACTGCTCAGAAGCAAGCCTCCTTGGAAAGCCTCAATCAAAATATTAAGGTGGTTTTGAGTTTTTACAAGCCTGAAAAACCAGAAGGTTTCCTTGTGCTGCGTGGGTGCTCTGACCATCGCTCTCCCCCTCCATCAGTTGAACCGGAAGGTTTGGTGTCGTGGAGCAGCAGCCACATGTGCTGATAGAGGCTTCTGCAGAGTCTCTTCCTCATCACTTGCAAGTCTCATGCAACTCCTGTTTTTCCTTTCATTTTTATTCAGCTTTTCTTTTCATGCTTTGCCCCTCAGTGCCATGACCCACTGTTGTTTCTGATGTATAGCTTCTGGGTTTGATCTAGCTGGGATCCAACAGCATCTTCATTGATGAATTTTCCATCGTTGATGAAAGGGTAAAGAGCACAAGAAGGCACAGGGTGGACACAGCTCGGCCTGTGGGCAAGCATTTGCTTTTGAAAGAGATTTGATGATCCACAGTGTTTCTGGGTAGGCACCGAAGAAAAGATGCCCCCATGGGGACAGTTCTGTGGGTGGATGTGTGTAGTATTTCCCATTTTTTTTTCTTTTGTAGTATTTTCCATTTTTCCCTTTGCCATCACTTTGCTGATGCATACTCAAGCTTTTGCATCGAGGCCAGGTTTCATGGCAGTGGTGTTTCAAATCAAGAGGCCACACGGCATCAGAACCCAGCTGACCGGCTGTCGGAAACCAAGTCCATTCCCTGAAGTTACATATAACCTTTTTCTTTTCACTTTTTAGTGGGAAAAATCAGGTTTATTTCCAAGATCATCTTTGTTTCATTCCTATATGCTCCTCTCTTCAAGCCCTGGCATCTCGTTGTGTTGGCAGTGAGGTGTTAAGACCAAGCCTGGCCTTCCTCCCCTCCTGCTTTCGGTGTCCTCTCAGCTTGGTGGCATGCAGAAGTCCGGGTGCACGGGACAAAGTGCCTCTGCCCAGGAGCCTGTGTCACTGCTTTTGTGTCATCCTTTACCAAAACACAGAGGTGATGTTTTTAACAAGGTAACAACACTCTATTTTAAGCTGCTTCTAAAAATAAATTCCCACACAAGCTGGCATTGTGGCAGCAGTGTTTTATAGTTTAATTGAGGCTGTTTTCTTAGGATGATTCATAGAAAGAAGATGAGCTTTACTAGTTTTACCCCGGGGTGAGGTGACGTTGGCAAGTGGTACATGAAGAAGTCTGCACGGCTGCGAGGACTTTTCTGATTAGCTCTATGGTTGTTGGCTTTTCCCCTAGGGCTGGGGTGTCACGTCGAACATTGGACAAGCTCTCTTTGTAGGTGTCTGGTAGCTAATAGAGTGCATTCTGTGTGTGCAGAGCATCCTACAGTGCTGTGGAGAGCTGATGCCATTGTCACACTGAATGACAAATAATGGCTGCAGGAGGTAATAAGGAAAGAGATGGTTTCTCTGGGAAATGAGGTAGCGATTTAATATTTGTCCCATGCTCAGAGCTGCGGGGAAGAAGTACAAGAGCCAGAGATATTGGGTGAGGGGAGGAGAGCATTGCAGAAATATCCAGAGAGCAGATGACTCTGCCCTCCCACACTGTCATCAACTATCTCAACATCTGGGGTGGGAGCAGCTTCCTCGCTGTAGCTCCCAGCACGTGAGGCAGGTTTGTTCTCTTGGTAACATTAAAAATGACTTTTCTCTGTCGAGCTACGTCATGGCTTCTCCTTGCCCAGCCAACCACGTGAACACCTCACAAAGAAAGCTTTTTGCCTCTTGCCCAAGGCAAAGACGTGTCATCTCCTGGGGTTAGTGCTCCCTTACGGATGATTTGGAGATGAGTGTGAGGCAAGGAGAAAGAGCCAAAAGAATCAAAGGAGCAGGAATGTCTCAAGTCCCCTCTGTAGGCTATTCAAGTGACTGTCAATAACTGATTCTCTTGTGTCCATGAGAGTGGCAGGATCTCAGGGCTGTTGTGCTGAAGTCAAGTGTCTCTGAAACCCCAAGTATCTCAAGTCCACGGTCTCCAGTCTATCAGCTTTGGGAGAGCAATACAAATAATGCCCATGCCGAAGGCAATGTCATGATCAGCTCTTCCTGTGGATTCGGAGGAGAGCAGCAGCAGGCTCGTCTGTGTCTGGTCCTGATCCAGTGTCAGCAGGTCTCGTGGGCAGTAGGTGACCCAGTGGCCATGGGATTGGGACCATAGGTCTGGGGGCTTTGAGGATAAAAGGTAAAGTGCTGCTTCCTATAGGGAATTCCTGTGCACATGTGATGTGGTGATCTGGGATTATGGAAGGTGTAAGGTTGGCATTGCTCCACTCAAAAACTTGCTCCTGTGCTGCCAGCAATGCATTTGGCACTAACAAGGGATCCCTCTCTGGGCTCCCTGGCTGAATCCAGGTTGTGCTCATCTCCTTCGCCTCACAGGAACCAGCCAGTGTGTCCTGTGCTTGCTGGTGCACCTCAGCAAAGGGAAATGTAACTTGAAGGAGGTCTGTTTGTACCTGAGGACCCCAGTCATGGCTCAGGGTCACATTGCACCAAACTTGTACTGGTATCCCAGTGTG